CGTCGAAAGCCCATTGAATTTGCCCTTGAATGGGACCCCTGTTTTTCTGCTCGTTGAGAGGTCACGTAAATTATGAAAGTTTCATCTGTGCTTCGTCTTCTTCAAATCCGTTAGGGCATTTTTAAGGGCATGCTAGCGTCAACTAATAATCCCTTGGTAGTGGTAGTATGAGCTTTTCCCTCGCATAGAAAAGAAAGAAAAAGAAAGGCGGTATGAGCTTTTTAGCAGGTGAGACATACGTACGTTCCAGGAAGCGTCATACACTTCAATTGTGTCGTCGTCTCTTTGACCAGTTCATTTGTCACCTCTGACCATTACATAGCTTAGGTACCTTTTTTTTTTTAGATAACATAGCTTAGATAGCTGAGATGTTAAAGCTAACCTGACGTGCATATCCTTGGTAATTTATAGGAGGGCTGTGGTAACGCATGCGAGCCGGCCGACAATTAGCGTGTGGAATGTGAGATTGAATTTTCAGTGAACAGTAAATTCAAAACAAATAGAAGGGCGTCGTCGATAATGATATAATACACAAATAGGATAATTTGTAGTAACAAACAGCTAGCAGCTCCGGTCAAGCGCATAAGCTGGAGCTAGTTATTTCGTAATAGCGAGATTGAGCAGCTAATTGACGTAGCCAGCTCCGTGTTTCTTTCTTTACCCTACCAGTTGCAGATGGGAACGCCTGGTTTTCCGGTTGTTGAGAGGTCAGTTAATTTTAAGAACGTTTCGCCTGTGCGAATAAATATACTTCTTCAAATCCGTTAGGGCTTTTAGCTAGAAAATGAATAAATATACTTCCAGCGCGAGAAATTTCCACTTCCTGGAGCGTCAACTTCCCTCGGAAAAAAAAGAAAGGAAAAGAAAGGCAGTATGAGCTTTTAGCAGGTGAGACGTACTTACGTACGCTCCAGGAAGCGTCGTACCCTTCAATTGCGTCGTCTCTTTGACCTGTTCATTTGTCACGTCTGATCATCAGCTAGCTTTCAGTTAGCAGAGACGTTAAAGCTAACCTGACGTGCATATCATTCGTAATTTATATGAGGGTTGAGGGCTGTGACAACGCGCGCGCGTGCGAACCGGCCGACAGTTAGCGTGTGGAATGCTAACTCTTTTTTTTTCCTCAAAACATGAAGCAGAAGAAAAGGGCTGTAGTACATAACATACCGTGAGATTGTTGATGTGATACTTCGTTTGCCAATGATGTTGAGGCCACTTGTAGTACAGCGCTACAGCTAGCGAAGATGATCAAAATGTCAAATTACCTCTTATAGTATATGTGCCTTGAACGATTTCAATCTCTCAACACACAACTCATTTAATAAACTCCATAGTCCCTCCGTCCGAAAAAGCTTGTCCCAAGTACATCCCTCATACTTGGGACAAGCTTTTCCAGACGGAGGGAGTAGCAGCTTGTGATCTAGGTAATAAGCCTGTTTAAATTTCTACACGAACTGTTGCAACATAATGGTTTTGTTGGCATGGTGTCAAAGAGTGGTGGGATGAGCATCGACCATCCATGTCTATGCATATTTGGCGAAATAAAGTTCACACGGCCGCCAATTATTTTTAGGATGGGCAAAAAACACTAGTGACAAAGATAAGGAGTAAGAGTGTCTTCTCCACATTATTGATGAATTGGACTAGAAATTTAAGAATATCCATCGGAATGATGGCGAAATTACCCTCAACCGAGATTTGAACTTGTCCTGGGAAAATCTTCTCTCGAGGAGGAGACCTATTGGCAACCCCCATGGCTCATATCAAACATTTTGGTTGGTGGCCGTGGGTGGCTGCGGCTGCCCCCCGAGAGACCGACGGAAGGAAATCAACTCAATGATAAATGTGGTCCTTCTGTTTTCATCTGGCTGACAAGCTAGAAGGTTTTTTTTTTAGAAAAAGAGGATGACCTCCGGCCTCTTCATCTGGGCGATGCATACGGTCACTTTATTAATTATTCTCACAAGACCTTACAAAGTCACACAACAGTAAGACTAAAGCCGCCGTTTAAGCAACAAACTGTCGCTACACCTATCCAGTTGATGAAGGGGCGCAGATAGCCTGGGCCTAATACCAACCAGACATCGCAGCCAAGCCTAACATCTAAGACCTGAGACCCCAACCTAGCCATTTGCCGGGTCTGGGGCACACACTGGTCCGGCGTGCTCTCAGAGGCCGCCGCCGCCAACTGCCACCGCTCCATCTTCAGAACTGTACTGATGCATCAACCTTGCTCGGTCCAGCTATCGTCGACGCCACCACGGCGCCCAACGACACCTCCTCCCTGCGCGCAAACAGCTGAACACGTCGCGGTCGCCACTGATACACCTCAGCGCCATGCTACCAAGTACCACCAGCCGACACAGCTTGAAGCCCTTGGAGGATCTGTCGTGCGTAGCACCTGCCGACCAGGCATGACCAAGGATAGTATCGGCCGGCCAGGCATGACTTGACATCTCCACCGAAGCTCCGTGCAAGACGAAGCCGCTCCACCTCCTGCCTCTGACTTCCAGCGCTGCTCCACAAAACGATGCTCCCAAGAGAGAAACGACACCGCAGTGCCGCCATCGTCCGGTCTGGAACACCAGATTCTAGGGTTCCCCCGGAGCAATACGAGTGGGTCGACGGTAGTCACATGACGATGCCTTCATCAAGGTAACGACGTGGAACGCCGCCATCGCCCGCCGTCGGCTCAGTTTTCACCGGCAACTACGTCTTCCCGACTCGCAGCTGGTGTTAGATGACGGATCCCGAGATCCGAACACCCAGCCTCAGCCTGACCACCTTTGACGGAAGAGATGACCACCACCGCCGGCTGCACCGGTCAGAACAGGTCTGATCGGAGGTGCCGCCGACAAAACCACCAGGCCCTCCACGCCGCCGTCGCCGATGGAAGACAACATGCACGCCACCGCAGCCAAGCCGGCCGCCGCTGACCGTAGCCGCCGCCGCTGCCCGAAGGGCCATCCGCAGAGCCCGCGGCCCTGGCCTCCGCCACGCCAAGCCGTCGGCGTCCGAGGACGGGCCTCCCGCCGCCTGCATCCATCCGCCGCGCCGTGATACGTCTCTGTCGTATCTATAATTTTTGATTGTTCTATGCCAATATTATTCCACTTTCATATACTTTTGGCAAATTTTTATATCATTTTTGGGACTAACATATTGATCCAGTGCCCAGTGCCAGTTCATGTCTGTTGCATGTTTTATGTTTCACAGAAAACCAATATCAAAGGGGATAAAAACGGATGGAGAATTATTTTGGAATATTTGGGATTTCCCGGAGGAAGAATCAACGTGAAACGGTGTCCGGGGTGGCCACGAGA